AAAAGGTATACAACTTCCCTTAAACTTTTTGAATAATTTCATTCATAATATGTACAATAACAATATTATAAAATTAGTTTTTTTTAAATAAAATATGCATTTGTATGGGAATAATCTTCAAAAAATATTGTAATACCTATTCAAAAATATAGGTACATAACCTTTTTTATTAAATTCAAATTTTGTTCTAACAGAATTTTTTTTTTAAATCTAGCTATTAATGTTAACAATAAATCCATAGTATGATCCAAAATATACATGGTTATGAGGTACTTGAAGGTTTTTATTTTTAAATTAGATACTTACCTAATGTTCTAACGGACTCAAAGGTATTTATTTAAAAAAATCCTAAGGCTTTTATGTACTTATGTTACACAGGTTAAGCAAAACCACTATTGATATGTCTGATAATAATTTAACACCTACCACTGGTGTAGACGAGCAAGAACCAGAACTACAGACATGGATACGGTCTGATTGTGGTATAAAAGATGTATGGGCTCATAATTTAGAAGAAGAATTTGCGTCGATACGAAAGTTACTTCCAAAATATTGTTATGTAGCTATGGACACAGAATTTCCTGGAGTTGTAGCCCGACCAATCGGCGATTTCAAAACAGCTGCTGATTATCTATATCAGTTGTTGCGATGTAATGTTGATCTTTTGAGGATCATTCAATTGGGGCTTTCATTTTTTGATGAAGATGGTCAGACGCCCACTGGTCAATATACGACATGGCAGTTCAATTTTAAATTTAATTTGTCAGAAGACATGTACGCCCAAGACAGTATAGAATTATTGACRAATTCCAGGTAACTGATAAATTTCTTTTAATGTAGCAGTCGGTCAGTCGTTGTATATCTTAAAATTAATTTTTGTTTCATAGAATCCAATTTAAAAATCATGAAGAGAATGGAATCGAACCAATAGTTTTTGCTGAATTTATAATAACATCTGGCTTAGTATTGATGGATAATCTAAAATGGATGACATTCCACAGTAGTTTTGATTTTGGTTACTTAGTTAAAGTGTTGACTGATGAAAAACTTCCTCAGGAAGAGTCAGAGTTTTTTGAAATGTTTTCTCTTTACTTTCCATGTGTGTATGACATTAAGTACCTRATGAAGAGCTGCAAAAACTTAAAGGGTGGTCTGCAAGAAGTGGCTGATCAGCTTGAATTAAARCGCATTGGACCTCAACACCAGGCTGGTAGTGATTCTTTATTAACGGGCATGGCTTTTTTCAAAATTAGAGATATGTATTTTGAGGGAATGATAGACAGTAAAAAATACTGTGGTCATCTATATGGGTTGGGAATCACCACTTTGAATAATGGTCAATTTCGTTATGATGGCGAAGTGCCATTTAATTTGTAAAAAAAAAAATTATGTCAAAAAAATTAGATAGATATTTGTTTTGTTCCTTTGGTCATAGATTTTTTTTATGACCATCTATTAATAATGATACCAATATTGTAAGTTTCAATTTGAAATATCCAAAGAAAATGTTTAATTTGCAATTTATTTTGTATAATCCTTGTTCACCAACTTTAAATTAAGTTTAAGAAATTATAGTAATATCTTTAGTCCAAAATAATTATGATAAGAAAAAAATTACAAATAAAAATGGTGAATTTAATACTGTACTTGTTTTTATAAGTACCTACTTAGAAAATTGAGAATATGTCCAGTAAAATAAAATAATAATAAT